GGACAATAAAATGTCAATAAAGTGCCTGTTATTACGGTTACGGTAAATTTGCTTCTCCATCGCGATTGAGTTGGATATTGTCCCAAGAATAATAAATATTTTTTAAATGCTTTGTAATAAGAAATATCAAATAGAGTACTTGTGCGTCTTTTGTTTCTCTGAAACACTAAACGTTACTACGTTATACATTTGATTTGAAATTATTATTATTATTATTATTATTAATGAACAAAAAAAAAATGTAGATATTTTAATCGTGTTATGTGTATATTGCGTCTCTTACTATTACTCCTTATATTTCAGAATTTCTAGATTTATTATACGTATACTTGAGAAAATGCGTAAGTAAGTGCCTAGGCACAAATGTTTTCACAATGAAATACTGAGCACGAAGTATGAGTCTTTTTTTTATAGATCCGAAATAAAAAATGGAAATAAGTTAATTAGATAGAATGTACATATCATTTATAGTTAACGACAGTACTGTCATACTGTTTTCATTGTCATACGAAATGCAAATTGTTTGATTTTCAATTGTACACGAATATGATTCATACGATAATTATTCTGTAAGCTATAAGAAAATGATTATTCTGTAGACTATAAGAAAATGTGTGTTATCTTTCTTTCCTTTAGTTTGCTAAATAACTTGCCTGAATATAGACGAAGATAGACGAAGAATTAGTTAGTTATAATAATTGTTATGACTCCTGAATTGTTGAAAAAAGATTATTCTGTAACTTCGCGCATCTAGATCGTGGAATATTGGAATGAAATAGTTTGCGCGTGACTGACAAGCGAACTTGTTTCGTTCGAATCCTGAAAATTCAAAGTAACAGCAAGAATCGAGATGATTCTGTTTGTTTCATTTGTCTGCACGATACAATCTACCTCTTAGAAATATTTCGATCGTAAGTTTCATGCTTTTCATTTCACATAATATTGACGAGAAATGTATCAAATCGTTTGACTAATAACGCACGCGATGAATGCTTATTAATAGTATATTATATAAATAATATATTAATAGTATATTAATAGTATATTAATAGCTGTCTATATTACGATAAATAATAATAATGAATGATCGAATATATATTGTTTACATTTATTAGAAATATAATAGAAATAAAATATCCAGAATAGGAAAGACTAATGAAATTATTATTTACGTGGACATTTAATTATTGTGCTTTGATGTAAGTACCCTACATTTCTGTATAAATATTTTTTAATTTCAGGTCTACATATTCAATAACATTATACAAAATTGTCCATTGGCATTACCATATCCATAATAATGATTGATTGTTGGAGAATTCATTTTGAAAACGAATCAATCTCTCAACGATAGCAGCACGGTAAAGTATGATACACGTGTTTTGAATGTCTTGGAATATCAAACGACACTAATTATTATTTTATAATTTATAATGCAATGAAATAATTACACTCCTAACAATAAGTGCAATTACAAAATTCTCGTTGTTCATTTCTTATATACCTCCTGCTGTTAACTTGTACGATTTACTAGATCTCATTTGCATCGTGTGCAATATTTTTTTAATCTTTATTGGCATTTTGAAATTTACCATGTTGAGCGATATCTGTTATACGGTTAATAAAATTATTATATCAAAATGATGATATCTGGAACGTGTAAAACATACTTGTTAACATACATATAATTACTCAATTCGGAACTATGATCCGTGATCACTTGCACAAGCAGAGTAATAATAAGCAAATGGAATTGCTGAGCCACAAGGTACAAAGTAATTTTGAGAGGTTCTTCAGGTCGATGCCTGATTCACGGCCCGATCAAATGATGTACTGAATGTTCGATTCATTAATTTTTTTCTGAAACTGTGAAATAGTTCTTACTTTCACAGCTGTTACAGTCATACCGATCATAGTCAGTAGAATTTGACAAAAGTAACTCTTTTGACTGCTATAGCTCGAACAATCTTAAAATATAACAAGAGAACAAATCAAAGTCGAACTCTATAAACTCTTCTTCATTATTTTTTCATTATAATTATAACATGTTGTCAAATCCTGACATACATGACAACATACAAGCTGAAAATAATATCGGAAAGCAACATCATTCGTATAAAAATTAATAAAAGCAATGATATGTAAAAGCATATTCAATATATAAAATTGATCAAAACATGGATTACAATATCTATTTCTATAAATTTCTCCAAGCTTATTTCCTTGCTTAGTAATTTCTTTGAGAATAGAAACTTGACTTTTATCGTTTATCAATTTCCAGTCTTCTTTTATGACATCGAACATCTTTTCAAACTAGAAAAAGATTTCATGGTATGATTTTATCTTCAGAATTTTTTTTTCTACAGATTTATATACATTTGTAAATTACATGATTTAGCAATTTTATTAAGACGGTTGATATAATAGTCTCATCCAGATCTTCATTTACTGATGTAAAGATTTGTCCAAACTATAAAGTAAAATCTCTAATCATATAATATTATTTAATCCTTCGTATTTTCTGAATTTTATATTAATTAATTCTTATTTATAATTTTTATAAAAATCAACAGTTTTATATAAATATTTTTTACTTGCCATTGGACAATAGGATGAAAATAAAATACCTGCCACTAAGATTACCTTAAATTTACTGCGTCAATTGCGATTGAGTTGGAAACTGTCCTAAGAATAGTAAATAATTTTTAAGCGCTCTATAATAGGAAATATCAAATCATCAAACACTTCCCCGTTTTTTATTTTTCTGAAACACTTACGATATATATATACACACACACACATATAATTTTTATAATATTGTTGAGTTTATAAGAAAATTACTAATCTCTTTGCCATTTTTGAATTGGTGAAATAAATTCGTGTATGTATTTATATGAAAAAAAATAGTGAGTGTTAAACATATATATATATGTATGTATGTTGTATGTATGTATATATATGTATATGTATATGTATACCCGATTAGACCCATTTTCATTATAATATAAGTAAAAGTTAGAAAATTAACAAATAGTACTGATGCTCTCTTTTATCTATTAGTAATCTTCATAAAAGATATTTAAATATTCCCACGGTTTTCAAGTTTATTTTATGTACGAAAGATGTCGCTACAGCACATGGTGACTGTAACCTTAGCACGTTGTGATTGTGAGTTACCTATCCAGTATCGAACTCTACATCGCAAGTTACGGTTATAAGCGTACTCAGGGTTTGTTGTTCGTCTGTTTGGTGTATCGTATGTGTTTATATTGGTTTCTTGTGTAAAAACTACAAAATTTTCATAATGAGTGCCGAGGAAGAAGTATTACGAATTCAGAAAAAATTAAACAAGATGTCGAGCGGTGACGGGACGGTGAGTAAGTGAGTAAAATATAGTTGTGTACCCTGCTCGGCATATTGGAGGCTGTTCATTAAGCAAAGCTATCCAGTGTAAACTGTGATTACTCTTATACATTATTGTAAATGTATGACGAATACAAATTTATTATCGTTTGAAATTTTTTTCCAAAAAAAGAAAAAAATTTTTCCATATATAACCAACATTAAAACATTAAAACTTTAATATTAAGTATAATAATTTTAATCCATTCATAAAACTTTACAAAAGTTAGGTCATATTATTTTCGTTTTAAATTTATGAAAATACACTACATTTTTCTATCTACATAAATATCAAAGTTGTCATTAAAATCTGTAATTGCGTTAGATGCATTGTAGATTGTAAACTAACAATCGAAGTTTATTAGTGTGGATGTGATTAATTGCATAATTCAATTTCTTCATTTAATGTTGCTTTAAAAAAGTTGCTTGTTATCTGCAACTATATCATTATACGAAATTGGCTGTAGTGTATATTTTGATGATAAAGATACAATATGATGATAAAAATAACAATATGTTTAATAACATAAAGAATAAAAATGTAACAAAGTATTTTATAATTATGTTAATAACATATATGTGCCTAAGTGTAATTTATATTAAAGAAATATAAATGAATCATATGTATATTTATATTTTCTTTTTCATTGACAACTTTTTACATTACAGGGACAAGAACAAGCATTGGAATTACTTAAAATATTACAAAAATTACCTGTTGATTTGGAACTCCTGACCAAGACACGTATTGGAATGACAGTAAATGCATTGAGAAAATCAAGCAGAGATGAAGAAGTTATATCATTATCCAAAACTCTCATTAAAAATTGGAAGAAATTCTTATCTGGTAAAAGAATAAATTTAAATGCATAAATAAAAGTCTTTTTTAGATAATTATGTAAATTAAAATTATGTATTTCTTTCTTATAGGATCCAATAAAGAAAAAGATTCTACTTCTTCAAGCAGTTCCAAAAAGAAAGATGATAAATCAGAGAAAAACAAAGATGATGGAGATCAGAAGAAAGATAAGGATAATACAGATGGAAGCGATGTTAAAACGAAGGAAGAGAAACCTCATAAAGATATTCAAAGAAAACAGTCTACGTTTCCTGCTCCTACAACCACAGATGCTGTAAGACTTAAATGTAGGGAACTGTTGGCAGCAGCTTTGAGAGTAGATGGAAATACAATTGATGGCTGTGCTACACCAGAGGAACTAGCAGAGGAACTGGAGGAAGCAATTTATGCAGAATTTAAAAATACTGACAATAGATATAAAAACAGAGTAAGGTTTTAGGTTGCTTCTGTTGTTTTGATTTTTTAATTTTTTAATTGTAATTTAATAGTGTATATCTAAATATTTAGGTACGAAGCAGAGTTGCTAATTTACGTGATGTAAAAAATCCTAATCTTCGAACGAATTTTATCGCTGGTGCTATAACACCTGCCAGGCTTGCTGTTATGACTGCAGAAGAGATGGCAAGTGATGAAATAAAACAGTTAAGGGAACAGTTTAAAAAAGAGGCAATTAATGATGCACAACTTGCTACAGTGCAAGGAACGAAAACTGATCTATTAAAATGTGGAAAGTGCAAAAAACGTAATTGTACTTACAATCAAGTGCAGACGCGCTCAGCTGATGAACCTATGACTACTTTTGTACTATGCAATGAATGTGGAAATCGATGGAAATTTTGTTAAATATTCTTTCCACGGTTTTTTCTGATCGCAATGGAAAGGAAAATGTATTTCGTTCGAAACCTACCTATTAATCATCATTATTAGAGTTAATGAATATTACATATTTACAATTCACAGATTATATTGGATGCTTGATAACGTTTTCAATTTTTTCACAAGTTTAAAGTATCCAGTTTTTATTCTATTGTATATACTGATATTCTGAATTACTAAGTCTCATCTTAGGGCTTTACAGAGCTTCAATTATATTAAAAAAAGAGTTCATTAAATTAAATGATACGTTTTCTTATTTTAATACAGCATTATTGCTGTCAAAAACTCTTAATATGCGACTAATATTAAAACTAAAATGTTTCGTTCTGCATTGTACGAGTTTATATAATACTTTACCTGTGAATAACTCGAAATTGTGGGTACAGTACTGAAATACATATATGTAATTACAATGTAGTATTTTTGGAACCCTTTTTGACAATAGTAAAAATTGCATATTTAAAGATAGATGTAATATTTATTGTGAGTGTAAAATAATTTCGTTTTTATTTAAATTAAATTGAAGGAGTTTGAAAAGTTTATATAATTTAACTTCTAACTGATTGAGTAACAATTGTACACTCTTTTTTATTGATTGATTTTACTTGGTAGTTTTTATGAATCACCGTTGGGGGCCACCACTTGATGCTTCCAACAATTTAGTCCAACAGTTTACGTGTTTCAACGCATACGCTAATTTCTAACCTAATATCAATGTCATTTGTATTGCTCTATATCCATATGTACTTTCAAATGGTTTCTAAATCATTTACAATTTGCTAGCAAGATCATGTAAAGAAAGATAGTTGTGTTGAAAGATAGCGTATAATTGTACAGAAAAATTCATAATGATATAATGTTTAAAATAAAATCTTTTGAAGTTAAGAGAAAATTCAATGAATATTCAGGATAACATAAACATTTTTGATTACTGTATATGCATCATGTTTGTATAATATGCAATGATCGTTAACTTATTTAAAATTTTATGACAACAATAATTGATTAAAGTATACATTAAAATAGAAAGTGAACGATTCACGATCATCACTATGTGCGGAGACGCCCACATCAAAGAGCAGTGGCAACTTTTACAAAATCTTCGATCTACGGTAGAAGGTTTATTAGTCGATGGTGTTTTAAACGTGTGGAATGTTTACGGTGGTTTAAATCGTCTTCACAATGTAATGGAAAGGATATTTAAACATGGCTGTCGAATATTTAATCGAAATGTAAGATTACATTCTCTACCTTGTTTTCATATGACATGTGTAATTTACCGGTATTAGTAATTATACTCAATTATATTTTATTCTTTTTTATTATTCCTCTTTATTGAAACTTTTAATTGAATGTAAATTATTTATTTGCATTAATACTTATTAATATTTATATCTTTCCTTTTTGTTTTCATTAACTATGTCATTGTTTATATTTAGATTAATTTTAATATTCTTATTTACTGCCTTTTGTGTTATTTATATAAGAGATTATACAATGTAACTTTGATATAAAAAAAAATTAATAAAATTTATTGCAAGGGAGAACCAGATTGTTGGATCTTTATTCAAGGATTAAATTGGCTGCAGCCTTCTGCAGCATTGTCACCTGTCGTTTCTGAAACAGAGGATTATCTTTCCAATTTACCAACTAGGATCATATCACATAAAGATATGTTATGGTTATATAAAAGGTAATTACAGAAAAAGAATATGATAATTTAATTTCTTAGTGTTTAACGTTTAATTTATTTAATTTAGTAACATATGTATGTAAAAAATCATATTCATAAAAATCATAAGTTATATATAACATAATTTAATAATTATGTAGTTTGGAAAGTCATTCTTTGTCATATAAGCTATCATGGCTTTTGTCTGACAAAGAACATTTACTTTCTTGCTTTGAACCATGGGCATTTTTGTGTCAAGAAAACTTAGCTGAAGCCACACTTTTATGTTTAAGAGCAGTTGAAAGAAACCAACCTACATTACTTACAGAAATTGATCCATCCTTGGTAAGTTGATTAAAGAAAATTTTATTTGTTGTAATATGTATATTTTCATACTTGTATAATTAATAGACATTTTCATTCTTCTAGTTTCTTTTTAATATTTTTATTTTTAGTTTTTACCTTGTTGGATTTCTCCTAAAATAAGTCCCAAAAGACATCGTCGATCTTCTTCATATCCAATTAATTTCTCAACAATAAATTTTAGTGTTGCAACAGATAAAGCTGTGCATATTGAAAGATGTCAATTAGAATCATTAAAAATAGCTTCAGATTGCAAAACTGTGCAACATGATGATGTTAAATCAAATGAAAAAAATGAAGATAAACCATCAAATTCTAAAGAAATTAATGATATACCTTTGAAAAGTTGGAGTAGTCTTTCAGCATTGACAAAAAATTGTACAACTCTTAGAAAAACTGTTCCTGTAGCTTCACCGTACGTTGCAAAGAATAATACACAGAATAGTAATTATTCTCAAACATCTTCTGTTGAATTATCAAAAATAATTAATGTAAATTATGCTGAATTAAAACAATCAAATACGGATAATAAATTACTCGTAAAGCCAAGAACTCCTATAAGAAAGATAAAAAACAAAACTAAAATTAAACAATATCAAAATATTAAAAAATCCAGCGAAGATTCCGATGTGTTGAACAATGAGGACGCATCGACAAATGCAGTAGAGGAATATCGAATTCCATCTCTTATATCAAGTGAAACAAATTCAGATATGTGTAATACAAATTCCACAGAAATTAAGATTTCTCAACAGCCAAGAAGGAAAACTTCTCTTCTATCAGGATCAGCACCTGAATTTACTAGTCCGTGGAATTTAGAAATTGAAGGGCAGAAGGATATAAGAACACCAAAGAAGAGTTTCATGGAAGATGGAGGAAGCAGTGTTCAACCTATGGCTATAGGATACTTTCCACGTCCAACAGAAGGTCAAAGTTTGACAAATTTTCTAGCTTCTGCACAATTTTCTAGAGCAAATGCTGAATTGGATAGAGAAAATGCACATTTCAGTGTTTCTGAAGCTATGATAGCTGCCATTGAACAAGTAAAATGTAACAAGCAATGGCGCCTTATGGAAGAAGCAACTGAAGAAAGTGATGAAGAAATAAATAGTTTAAAACAAAGGATACGATTAAGGCGGCGCCAACGACAAGAAGAACGGTATAAAGGAAGGACATGGAATCGCGAATTATTAAGCGATGGCAAGACGGATACAACAACTACTGATCAAAGTGTTAGTCCATTATCAACTTCGTCTGATACTCCATCAGAAAATATATCCACAGATGATATAGAGGATTTAGAAGTGGATGATGAGCGAAATGCAGTAAAACTTAAGAATGCTGGAATTTCTATATCCATGGCATCGTTATATTCAGATGCAGATTTATATCAATCATCTCCTGCACATGGAACAGAATCAACATTAACTGAAAGTAGCATGTCTGCGGAAGGGGTAGCTTTGTCGCTTCTTAGCAAATTTAGTGAGAAACAATTACCAAGAGCGAGTGAATTACAATGGCTGGTCTCTGAAAAGGATGTACCACAAAGATTGTTACCATTACCAAAAAGTTGGCCAATAAATCCAGATGATACAGAAAATTCACAATCAATTCCATTGCGTGGGACGACAGAATGGGCTCCACCAAGACCTCAAATTATTTTTACATCACATCCTCCACCAGTGTAAGTTTTTAAATTTAGACGATATGTATAGGGTGTATCCGAAATCATGATACAATTCCAGGATATGATTCTACATGTAAAAATAAGTTAAAAAAAAAGAATAAAATGTTTTCGTTTGAAACTTTATTTTCGAGAAAATCGAGTCTGAAAATTTATTAAGTATACCTGAATTTAGCTAATGTTTGTTTCTCAAAAACAAAGCTTCAAACGAATAAATTTTATTTTTTTTCTTCGACTTATTTTTATGTGTATAATCATTTGCTGGTTGATTATACCATGATTTCAAAAATATCTTATATAATTTAATTATTCAGTTAAACATGATATACATTTTATACATAGGCGGCGCACTCTTATAGCTAAACAGAATTATAGGTGTGCAGGATGTGGAATGAAAGTTGCAATAAAATATGCTAATAAATTTCGTTATTGTGAATATTTAGGTAGATATTTCTGTACTGGATGCCATACGAATCAAGTAGCATTGATACCAGGAAAGATTTTATCTAAGTGGGATTTTAATAGGTATAGTGCTTAGTGAGACTAAATTTACAATATATAAAGTGATACTATATATTCATTATTCTTTCATTTAGGTATTCTGTATCAAATTTTTCATATAGATTGTTGGATCAAATGACATCAGATCCATTATTTCAAATAAATGACTTAAATCCATCATTATACAGACGAATAAAACAATTAACCAGGACAAGATTATTACGTTCACAATTATTTTTCTTTAAAGATTTTCTATTTACATGTCGATTTGCGATAAGGTATAAATTTCAATTGCTTTTTTCTTTTTTATTACAAGTATAAATAATATTCTGAAATTTATTATTTTAGTGTTCAAGATGTTCTGAAGAAGGAACCAAATTACATAATGAACGAACCCCATATATATTCCATTCAAGATTTGATGCATGTTAAATATGGTATTTTGCCAATGAGATTACAAGAATTGGTTGAAATGTGTAATATGCATATTATGAGCTGTGAGGTAATATTTTTTAATAATAAATGTTCATGTTTTTAATAAATACTGATTTATATTGTATATTTATACTTTTAATAAGATCTGATTTTATTTTTAGTTATGCCAAGCTAGGGGATTTGTATGCGAACTATGTCGTTCCAAAGATGTTATATTTCCATGGGAATTTTCAAAAGTTAATAGATGTGAAATATGTGGTGCATGTTTTCATAATGAATGTAAGCAGAATTTTAATAAAGCAGATTGTCCACGCTGCATTCGTTTACATGATAGACGAATATCTAGAGAACAATTTTGACATACGGTAAGATTGTCTTATGCCATATCTTTAGCTGTAAGCATCAAATTGGTAATTTATAAATTAAAATTTTGGAAATTGATTTTTATTTATTATATTTAATTTAAAATTGAAAATAACAAAGTAAATTAGGGGTATTAGAAATTATATTATTAATTATATGCATGTATTACAATATAAAAATATTTTAATTTTGAAAATTTATTATATTTATAAACTAAATAAAATTAGGTATTCTGTTGTTTAAAATTTTTGAAGTATAGCATTTTATAAAAAAAATTAATTACTTTAATATAATTATATGAATGACAAACGTAGCAAAGACTGAGAAAATGTGATATATAAAATAATTGTAACATTATTCTTAAAGTATCTTACTTATTTTTCTTGTATGTTACGTAATTATTTATTACGTATACTGTTACCAGTCAAGACTAGCAATAATTTGTTACTATTTATAAATTTTTAATTTAAATAATATATATTATTTCAAATATATATTTCAATATGTTAAAATATAGTGTAAAAATGTATTCAAAAAATGTAGTATCTTAAATATTTATATTTTCTTTTTATTTTTTTTAACTGTGAATCTTGATATTCAATGTAATTAAAAAGAAAACAGATATGAATTAGTATAAATATTTATTGCAAAACGGCAATAATATTTTAAGTATACACAATGGTTTATAAAAATATCTTTATACTGAAAAAATGTAATAGTCATAAATGTTGTACCTGGTTCCTGTCATGATTGAAAGTATGCATTGTTTATTTATAAAAGTTGTTAATAAGGTCGAAGTTTATAATAAAATATTGAAATCTAATATATTGTTTTATTTTCTGAAAGTATTTGTAATACACGTTTCTTTGGGCTAATAATGTACTAAAGGAATACATACAAAAAAATAATTTGAAAAATTAAAAATTATTATTTGATTTTATTAAATTACATTTCGTTTATAATAGTTCACATACACACATTTTATAAAATGATAGATAATAATACACTCATTATTGGTACAAAAATATATTATATACACCACCTAATTTCAACAAGTCTTACTGCATAGTATTTCTATATGATAAATTTTCATTATAAAGAAATCACCCTAAATTTGACCTAATAAAAATATTTACACATTGATAACCGTGTTCACTATGTACAACAACTTTCTTGATTTAATATGCATGTTTTCTAAGAAGAATCTTAGATATTTTTTAATTGATAGGCATATGACTTGCATAAATATTGTTCATGAAAAAATTTTGATGCATTTGATCGTACTAAAGTTTTGAATACATATATATCACAGGTGGTATTTTATAAAGAAGAATATCCCACATTTATTACAGGCACAGCTAGTGACTATGACATGAGTAAAACTCGAAAAACAATTTTTTGTTGCACTTATGTATGCAACTAATGAAAGTAGTGAATACAATTTCATGTTAATGGTAAATGAGAAATTATTCCTCTATATATTTCCTCTATAAATTATGTATCTATATATATATATAAAACTTTAAATTTAATAGTTTTAATGTTTCGATTTAATTCATAGAAAAAAAGAAATAATCTCTTTCTTTTGATATTAAATATGGTAAGTAAAAATATATATTCGTCAACTATCCTTAGTAGCATACCATTTATTTAGTCTTTGAAGTGCAACAACAATGTATAACAATACGCCACATTCTCTATACGGCTCTTTTTATAAAATACTAGTATCGCCTAGTTTTCCATTTATTGATATTTATATAAATGTATCAATTGAATCTTCAATAACGCATCGTATAATTATATATAAAAAAAAAATACGAATAAAAGATTTATTTCAATCTTTGCATGCATAGAAATACTTTTGAAAATATTAATTTTTGTAGAGTATAAAAGCGTGGCGTTAAAATAAATTTCTTAACAAAAAAAAGAAAAAAAACTTACAAATACTGAGATTGTAAATAGAGATTACTAATATTGTATAAATAATTAGAAAAAGAAAGAAAAAGAAAAATTGTAATATTTATCGGTTCTTGTAGATATATATTAAATTTAAACTGAGCTTCAATCATTTGTTTTCTTATACATATATAACTGATAACTTTAAAATTTTCTTATTATAATTTCACTATTACATAAATTAACGATCATTTTGGTTTATAAACTAATGCTCAGTGCTCATCTTATTTTTTTATAAATTTTACTACAAATTATCTAGCAATAACTAGGCAATCCTGTGTATTATTGTCAACTATATTTCTTTAATTAAACTATTTATATATCTAAAGTGTCTTTTAATGGCAGCTTTGCTACTTCAAAAAATATCCTAAAATAAATATTATTTATAAGTTTATTATTTTAATCTTTAGTTTCTCTAATTAAATATTAAAAATATGTATGAAACATATTGACATACTTACTTGTGACTGTACTTGTTGCGTATAGTAGTGAGAGCTTCTTTATGTTTCCGATGTAACCCTTCGTTCAAAAGATTTACGATATCTCGTATGTCATCAACAGTATAACCGCTATAATATTTTAGGGTAGGAGTCCATCCTCCTAAATCTTTCATTCGTAATGCTAAAAAGAGTGCAGATGCAGCCATTTTACTATCGCTGAACATTATTGTTGAATAATCCATTAATGAATACTCCAAAATATATCGAGCTAACGTTAATGTTGGCATTGACACTTTTGCACACTATTTGAAAAATAACAATTATAATTTGTTATAAATGTTATGTTATGATAGAATATGATAAAAAAAAGATATTAACACAACTTACCCTAGCATATCGTCTAAGAAATCGATAAGAAAGAGGTATACCAAGATCAAAATCAATTACTTTTAATATACTCATTTCCATTCTAATTAATTCTTTTTGTGTGTAAGCACCGTCACATATATATAAGAAATCTTCCACCATCGGAGGTATTCTTTCCTAGAAAAATAAGAATTACAGAATCAAACAATGAAATATGTTAAATTTGTTTAAAAATTAAATGAAAATAGAATATTTAATTTTGATACTAACATCATATTTACTTGCTATGAAAAGACTTGCAGCACCTAACAATTGTAATGTTTCTTTCCCAACAGTTACTTTTGTCAAATATAGGTCAACTAGTTTCACAGCCAGATACAAAGTTTCATGATTAAGTTCAAAAGATTCTTGAACTTCTACCATCCAATCAACTAATAAAGCTCTCATCCATCTTGAGAGACATACTTGTTTTTCCATGTAATCTCCAATAGGAAATAAACGTTCTCTGTCTTTTAAGTAATTGAAAATATCCATGGCATAATGAGAGACTTGAAATGGATCTAGCCAATTTTCTGCATCAAAATCCCACTGGACACCTTCAGGTAATATTCTTTCAGGAACAGCATCTAATTGACTTGTCTTTAATTTCTCTTCAGTTTTTGCAGGTACTTCAGACTCACTTGGTTCATTTTCTGTTTTTGTCTTTTCTGTTTTTGTTTGTTCTGCTTTTGTCTTTTCAGTTTCTTCCGGCTGTTTTTAAGTATTTATTTAAATATTTAAAAGTTATGCAAAACTGCACAATGTAGAAATGATATATAATAAAAATTATTTACCTGTATATTACTTTTTCTGGATTTCCTTTCAATGTCATCTCCAACATCTTCTAATGCACTTACGTATAAAGAACTATCTTCTGATTTTTCTAAGTCTAAACTACGTCTAACTTTTACAATTTTAATAGGTATTTCAATTTTTTCTTCATCTTTTTTTATTGGTTTCACACGAGGCACTGGTTTTGGTTTTTGAGGTACTACTTCTGGTTTAGTCACAACTTTTTCAAGCGTTCTAATAGAACTTGTCTGAGTGAAAGGTTTTACTTGAGTAACAGCTGCCTTTTTTACTGTTTTCTTTGGTTCTTGTGTTTGATGTGTTCCCAATGTTTTTCCAATTGCCTGTAATTTTCTATGACTATGAATATGAAAAAAGAAAATGTAAAATGGGAAAAGGAACAAATAACATACATTAGTAATATTTCCTAATGCAGATCTTTTTACTGTCTTTTCTTTTGGTGGAGATGCTTCTGCTTTTCTTTTGATACGGGAATCTTTGCCAATAATAGAAGCCTTGAGTAAAACATTGTTTAATGCAGCATTTTGACTCCTAGTGGTTACTCTTTTTCTTGTATTGGTTATATTAGTACCACTTTGTTTATTTGCCATATTTGAAATTTTTGATGGAGCCATTCTTGCAATTGTTTAAGATAAAAAGATTTGATTTTTCCTTATATAAAAAGCAGGTATTGATATAACTATTTATAAATTATTAAAAATACATTATTAAAAAAAATTTGTTAAATATTTTATTTGAGAATATTTAAATATTTTTACATAATATATCTATAGCAACTCATAATAACAATAAGAGCATATTCAAACGATACTGTAATTTTGACGATTTTATAAAGATAAAAAACAGCAAAATTTTCTAACGAGACATATGACTTTCATTAGTAATATGTTAAAATGTACGTGGTCTAAATTACGAATAAAGTAAAGATCATGAATAAAATCATTCGTTTATTTACTTATTGGCATTACTTTATAGCATCTTGATCAATGCCCGACTGATTTGTTTAAAAAATGAAGCCACTTTCTGTTAGAAATCGAAGAATTCTTTTATTTTTTTGATCCCGCATTCTGATTGTTGACTTGGTTCATAGAACGGTCCATTCAGAATGGAAAAAGCGCGGGAACATGTACTAAGAATATATTGTTAAACAAGATAGAAAAACATAAGTTGCACTATTGTTTAAAACCACGGCACGATTTTTCAAAATAATACCGAAGAAGAGTGAAAGTAGACAAACATGATCAATTCAGCATGATTCCTGTAAAGCGATCATGAGAATGTCTCAAAATTTCATTAATCTGTACGAAAATTAAATATTTACTTAACAAGTTATTTTTCTAGAGTAAATTAATTGTTTTGACTTACTTGTACGTACAAATTATGATGTGATATACTCTGATTTAACGATGTTTCTCATTTATTAAATTCTTATGCCATTAATACGTTACTGTTGTGTCCATTTGTCTCTTTTGGGCAACTGAAGTTGACGCTGTTCAAAATATCACAGTTAGTGTTAGCCTTTTCTATGATTGGCCCGCTACAATTTGTGCTAACGAATCAGAGACGTAGAAATTATTTTGAACGCCACCTGCCGATAAAATATATAATTCAACACTACTTCGTTTCTTCAAAACGTATATGTATATCCGTTTTTTATATTTTATATAATTAATGACCTGTATTATGCACTATACAAGTATAATTTTAATTACGTTTTTTTATATAAAGAATCATTTGTTGGTGATATATTGTTAAACTTTAGGCAGAGAAACATAGCTACTGATTAAAAATTATATGTATTTACTTTAGAATAGAAATTGTATAGAAATTCGTGTGTTATAAATACATTAATAAACATATAAAAGATATTCATTACTATTTTCCTGTTGTTCGATCTGTTGAATGCTACACATTCCTACTATAAATAATTGGTCTCATGGGAACAGTTTGAACTCTGTAGCTTTAATAAATAATTAGCCTTTGACCTGTATTTAGTTGTTCGACTCACAGCAAAACAGCAGTATGTTTGAAACTTTTCATACCTGGATTCTATTTGAATAATCGTAAAAATATCGTAAATAGTGTTTTATCTTTCTTCGGTGTTTGATAACCTAACTAACCACGATATTTGTTTAGATATTGTGAAAGTTTTGTCACATACCGAGTATTTATCATATATTCTCTTCATACGTGTGTACCTTCGTGCATCTTCGAATTTTCAGTTTCATTGGTCTGTGATTTTATGAACAATCAAAAGAATGCAAAGTGAACGTTTCGTAGTTAAGTATATATCAGTGAATAATTGTTTTGCCTATTTGCCGAACACCTGGTTACGTAAATTGGAAATTAAGGTTGGTGCTTTGTGTTCTTGTAATCAATAAGAAAACGTGTAAATTGTTAAACATATATCACACATATAATAATAGATGGAATATGTCAATTGAAATTGGTGTTGATTTTGACTATGGCAATATCTTATCATCTCGCTAGATGTCGAGATTAATTTTTTCTTCGGTTAGGTTGATAAGAAAGTTTTCATCAACATTGAAAACAATTCAACAATTAGAGATCTATGAATCGTAATAACTTTTAATTATTGTCACTTTATTGGAATTAATAATTAAAATTTTTATATTGATACTGTTACAAATTTCAATTATTCGTATTACCATCATATGATAAAGAAGAAATCATTGAATGATAATTACCTACAAAAGATATCAATTATAAAATTAAAAGCGAGAATTTTTTAAAAAATATTTTATATATATCATTTTTTTTTATATACATGTATTTTGAGAATCACTCGGTTTGGAAAAAATGACGTTTTTAATGTCAAATTCAACTACGTGAAACGAAAAATTTCAAAATGTATATTTATATAAAAAATTAATAATTGAAAATTATTAATTCCTTTCTATATTTTTCGAATAAATTGTTGTTCAATGAAGTTAATAAATTAATGGAATTTAACTTCACTATATAAATCTAATTTTTAGATTATATAGTGCACATTAAAATAAATAATAGCTCATTTATATATTATATTAATATAATAGCTCATTTATATATTATAATAGCTCATAGATTATATAGTGCACATTAAAATAAATAATAGCTCACATGCAATCTTCCATCAATTTTTTTTTTTTAACAATTCAAAATACTTTATTATAAATTACAGGAAAATGTAATTCAAATCATACATAAAGATAAAACATATTACATGTCCTACAACGTAAGGCCGAATCTTAATGAAACTTTATGCTTGGGAACAATTTTTGCAAGGAGTTTGAACATTAAAGAAGATGACGAAGTATTCGTATCTTTCGTAATGGATGTTCCAATTTTAACAAAAATTAACGTTGCACCTCTCACTACGTCCGACAGAGAAATCCTGGTAGGTTTTATAAAAGTTAAAATTAAAATAAGATCTCTCCTTTTGTACAGTGCCTATGAAAGCAATGGAATTGCAATATTTTTAGGAAATACAAATGGAAAAGGTACAGTCGACGTTGCTTGGTCAAATTCGAGTGGTGGCAGAGAGGCAACCGATTATCGCGTGGGTTTCAAGGCATACATCCGTAACGTTAATTGTAGGCAAGTATTAAAATTTCCTGTTCAATGAGATATGTGTTTGATTTTTATGAGTAAAATTAAACTGCTAAGTAATGCTAAGTAAAAACAAGGAAGTACCACTTGATATAATTTCAAATGAAAAAATTATTCTAAAGGTATAAGAATTCATCTTATACTTAATTTGAATGATTTTATTCATACGAGTAATCATTTACGATAATTAAAATTTATTTATCAGTGACGGAGATTTTTCCTACGAATAATTATATTATTATTTTTATATTGTTATTATTAGAAATGAAAACATTTTTTTGATTACTTTCGACTATTGCCAATTTTTATGTACTACGAATAGAAGCATATGTATAGAAACACTAGAGTCGTTTCTTTCTTACAGAATCGTTAGAACCATTAACGAAATACGGGAAACTCGAGCAGTTTTCCGAGATCCATGTCTCTGATATAGTGGCAAATACAAAAATTAGCGGGTCGAACGAAAATCCTAAACAATCTGGTGTTACGAGCAATTTGATTTCTGCTTTCAAAAAATTGTTACCAATCGTAAACGATCGAAACTCGGAAAAAGACAACCAAGCAACGAGGAACTATAAACTTCTACAGAGTTTTCGAGATAGAAAAGTATCCACGGTGTATCGTGTTCATCCGATGCCCAGTGTGAATGCAATCGAAGGGAACGAGTTTGACGATATCGCGCGTTGTCCTTACCATGTGTTCATTTTAAGAAATCAAGCGCCAGAATTCCCAGGCTCAAGCGGTTCTATTATTTGTCGTGTAAAAAAGATTCCAGAAGACAAGCAACACGTGAACGTAACGAGCACGAATTTTCTAACGAAAGATGAATCGCCAGTTCCAATTCTTTCTACAGAGTTGATAGTGAAAGTGTTTATATTGGAAGACTTTTTAGAGAAGTTCTCCGCGTTGGATAGAAATCATTTTAACGTTGATTTTCGTCACAAAAGTATGTATGTATCGAACAGTTTAAGAATCAGTTTGAGCTTGAAAGTAGGCGCGAAAGTGAGTTTGTGCCTGATAGATATGTCCGAGAGATCGGAACCGTCTTCCATTGAGTTGTTCTCATGGAGAAACTCGGTGACTATAGAAGATTTCAAAAATTATGTTAAAACGCGTTCTTTTTACAAAGAATTGTTAATCAATACTTGTGCTGTTATTGTTCTGGATAATGGAAATTCTTGTATAGTGAAAATTTCACCGGAGGATTGTAAGTTCGCCACGATCACAGAGAATAATTTAAGCGACATCAGAATACACGTGAGGAATGTGAAAGAGAAAAGTCAGCTGAGAATATCTGAACACTTTGATCAAGAATGTCTTTCGTCAGGGATGACATCTACGAGGTACTGTTCTCTTTTATATTATATGTATTTAGATTATAACTGAGATATCTAACGACATGATACGTTTTGTAAATACACATATATACGTAAAATTATGATTAAAACTCATTACCACGTGAATAATGAGTTTCTTTAATAAACATACTGAAGAACAAAACTTTCAAAACTGAATAACTAATGTGACAAAATTGTATAAACATCTAATTATCGTTGTGAAAAATTTACATAAGGAAAGCTTTTGTTTCTTCGAGGGAAAAATTCTTTTTAAAAATATTCAACACTTTCTTTATTCTTGATAGTTTTTCGTCTACATAAAATACTGCTTGTTTTAGATATTTGAGGAACATTCTATCAGAGTGTGAACTTGCGTTAGATCTTAGTCTAGGTTTGAAAACGCAATTACCATTCGAATACGAGCCTGAGAATATTTTAATTTCCGGAGCGGTTGGTTCAGGCAAAACTACTGTTTGTAAAATACTTATAGAAAAACTACAAAAGCCACCATATTTCGTGCATACCCACATGATAGATTGTAGATCTTTAAAAGGTAGATACAGATAATTTGGAATTAAATTATGGATGCTTATGCATCTATAAATGGAAAAAAAGATAATTTAATGTTACATCAAAAGTAAGTAGTATTAATTTTTAGGAAAGAAGGCTGAAACGTTACAAAAAATTATTGTGACTGCTCTAACTGAATGTATTTATTATCAACCTTCAATATTATTTTTGGACGATCTAGAGTCTATCACTAGCGCGTCTATGAATGACGAAGAGCATACTCCAGACGCCATAAATGCTACTAGGTATCTTTGTTCGAGTTATGTTCTTATACGTTTGGGAATAAAATTTAAAGAATTTATTCTTATCATCTACTTTCTTGATATCAGGATCACAGACATGTTGATTAATACAGTGATGCAGTATGAAGAATGTTATCAAGTATCAGTGATTGCTACGTGCGCAAGCGTTAGCAGGATAGGTCAGAAATTAAGACCAGCCAGAGGCTGTCATTTTTTTAGAACAATTTTATCCATCCCTAATCTGGAGAAGGTATTCCATTTTTATTGCATTTTATTTTTAATATAACTGTTTGATTATCGTACAAGAAAGCACAACGTAAATCTCAAATAATTGTAATCCATAATAAAATTATTTACATATATATGAAGCGTATACGTGTACATGTAATATGAAAAATGTAGAATATACGTAAATTGAAAAATGCCGAATTTTAGTTATAAATTAAAGTTTTGCGTATTTTCAATGTCTGATGAAAATAAAAAAAAAACATTTGATAAAGAGAAGAAAAGAACGTGTAGGATGTGTAGCAGAATATCTATCTAAATTGAAATCATCGAAGAGAAAATCATCGACTCAGATCGTGATCAGTGTCTGTAATATGTTCTGCTGTGTACTCTCTAATTAGGTGGATAGAATCGATATTTTGCAATTAATGCTTGGGGACAAGTTGTACGTGCCTAGAGACGTGAATTGGGATTACTATGGAAACAAGACTGAGGGATGGATGGTCCAGGATCTCGTAGATATGGCCGAGAAAGCTGCATTCGCCGCTTGGAAGCGTCATGGTATCCTTACAATTATTAATTTCATTTAAAATCAATACTAGATTAAAATATTCCATTACATTATTTTCATTTTTATTCCACTATTAATTTATCTAGATTCAATCGAATTCTTTGTCGCAATGAGTTTTCAAAGAAAGTAATTAAATTTTATTATTTATTAATTGGCTTTTGACTATTAGAGTATCAATTATTAGAGTATTATTTTGACTATTAGAGTATTATTTTGTATATTTTAATAATAATTTGTCTATTGTTATCAATGCCATTTTTAATTATAAGCAAATGTTTCTAACCCTGATTTTTATACAAAAAGGTACTTCCATGCCTCCAGTCGAAGTGGGTGAAAAGGACGTAGCGATAGCCTTGAAAAATTGTACGCCAATATCATTGCAAGGTATACAATTGTACAGAGGCGAGGGCCACGTTTGGTCAGGTATCGGTGGATTAGTGGAAGTGAAAAGATCACTGGTAGAAATTTTACAATGGCCTTTGAAATATTCTGAAATATTCAAAAACGCCCCGATTAAGCTACAGAATGGTGTTTTATTGTATGGTATGCCTGGCACGGGGAAAACGATGCTCGCCAAAGCGATTGCTAATGAATGCGGTGTTAATTTAATTAGCGTTAAAGTACAAACATATTTATTTTTGCTTTCATTCGACTCAATAGTTTGATTCTTACGTGTAAGTGTTTATTTCAGGGACCAGAACTATTGTCAAAATATATTGGTGTTAGCGAGGAATCTGTTAGAAACGTATTCGAGAGGTAAGAAAACATTTCGGTTGTCAATTTTCTAATGTTAAAGAATATTTCAAGTTTGAACGAAATATGAAGTATGAAAATTCAAGAGTTACGCCAGATTAATGAGTAAAATTTACAGGGCTCTTCGTGCTAAGCCATGTGTTCTGTTTTTCGACGAATTCGACAGTCTTGCTCCAAGGTAAGATTATCGCCAGGTAATAAAGTAAATTATAGATTTATTTAGTAATAAAATAAATTATAGAATTTAGTTTTAAAATTGCTATATATTTAATATCTAACTTATTTAAGACGAGGTCACGATAGTACTGGAGTCACAGACAGAGTGGTAAACCAATTGTTAACACAAATGGATGGAGTTGAAGACAGAGAAGGTGTTGCGGTCGTGGCAGCGTCTTCAAGGCCGGATTTATTGGATCCAGCACTATTGAGACCTGGACGTCTCGACAAAGCGTTATATTGTCCGCTTCCAGATGAGGTATGTAGCTCTTAATCTAATCATTATAACTCGAAATAAAAGCAAGGAACTCTAACAAATGCTATTTGTATTTCTAAAAATTCTATTTCTATAATTTAAAATAAATTTATATATAGTACTTTAAGTTGGTAAGTTTATAATACGAATCTCGGTTGAATAAAATTATATGTTGATTTATACAGGCGGACAGGGAGGAAATCTTAATCGCTCTTTGTAAAACACAGAACATAGATACGATGGAATTAGATTTAAAAGAATTGGCAATACTTTCTTCAGGATTCACCGGTGCGGATTTAAATGCTGTGGTGACACAAGCTAGGTTAGCAGCTTTCGAGGATGCTGTTGCGAATGCTTCTGTAAGTAATCACTTTCAATAAGATTTTATCGATAAAATATTAGGCAACGGATCTCTGATACACTTTAAATTGCTCGATTAAGGGGTTAAGGGAGTCATTCAACTCGGCCGCCTATAGATCAATGTAAACGCAATGTTTAAGTACACAAAAATGAATTCTAATGATTCGTCTGTTCCCAATCATCGCGTCGTTTTGTTACACAGCCCGTTGTATCTCTCTTCTTGTAATAATGAAAAGCATTTTAGCGCGACTCCGGCCGAGAATCATTTGTAGGGAGCTTCCGAAGTAAGATAGTGCGTAATGATGATAATATCGTTAGGTGTATACTCCTCTGCCACCTCTCTCCTCTTGTGTCCTATGTATATAGAGTGTCGAGCTGGCTAGGTGGGTAGGTATGGTGCGATATAACTGAGGAAACGTAGACCAGGTTTATTAGCGCACGCTGCCGAGAGCACCAGCCATCCCCCATCTCGCTCCACTTCATTCTGGCCTACGCCTCGCTGAACGTCGAGGGGGTTATTATCTTATGCGTTATAATGATACACGGTTTAGGGCCTGCAGCGGTCCTGTAAAATCGAAAGGCAGACACCACCCGTCCCCCCTCACAGTTACCATCTTGCTTCCAGGAGTTTGGATCTTGTAATCAAACTACGAAATCATTTTCTTCGATGTTGTATTAGGTACACAATGATCCACAAGAGTGGATTTATATATTTGTACATTCCTAGAATATATTCATTGCTATTAATTAATTCCATTTAATTCCATTTAAAAAGTGGAATTTTTCAATCTCCCTCATTATTTAAAGAAATTATACTTTCATTGACATTCGTACACCGTTAATATCAAAATTCGAATCTCACTTTTGTTACATACACTTGTATGTATATGGTAATGTTAACTTGAAGAAGTAAAATGATATCGTCTAATATCTATTCGCGTTTCACAATCAACGTAACGTGTACGAGGTATGGGTGTCGAGTGTGTGATAAGGGGAAAGGGGTAGAACCATTAATTAACTTCCTACGGAGAAAACGAAGTTATGCCGGTACTTACCTACCGGAAGAACACGAATATCCAAACTGTACGTCTAATTAGCGAGCGAGTTTCCTGAGCGCGACGCGTTTCGAGAGGAACGCGTCTTACTGATAAGCGATACCGTCTATAGGCAGACTTACAGGCTGTTTCTCGCTTAGCCTACCAATTAATAGCCTTGTCTTCTCACCTTGATTTCAGGACGGGAAGATCGAGACCGAGGACATTAAGGTTTCTCAGACGCATTTAATCGACTCCGTGAAGTCTACCCATCCTTCTCTATCACGTCTCGAAAGAAAGAAATATAAAAGCATGTGGGTATTTTCTTGAAGCGACTCGTACGTTTTAGGCAATCATTTGGAATTATCGAAATTTGACTTTTAGATTTGTAACTTTGCGAGTTCTCGGAACTCTGGAAACCAGATTTACATGATTACGAAATAAAATCTTAACAATTTTTTTCTTTCAATGAAGAATGATTTTTCTGAATTCAAGAATTCGAAATTTTTTTAAAATTTAATTTAAAAGTTTTTAGATCTCGATTGTACTAATCGACTTTCATATTCTTTTGATATAGTTACGCCAAATTTGCGAAGAACGACAATTTCGTGGAAGATATATTGAAAAATCAGAAAGCTACTTTGGCATGAATATAAGAGGTACGAGGATCAAAGGAGTCAAAAATCATATTCACTGTGTAATTTTGTGTTTTGGTACAGGAATTAAAGATAAGTATACTTATTTTTTTTATGTTAAAACTCCTTTTTTGATATAATTAATGTAAATTGATAATAAGATGGTATTAATGTCTATGTCTATTATATTTTTGATATGATTAATGTAAATTGATAATAAGATAATGGTATCAATGATGGTTTCATCTCTATAATATATAATATATATCTATAATATTATATATTATATTTTCTACTATAACACATTGTATATTATATTGTAAATAAAAAATACCAACGAAGACGAGCCAGTGACATGATCGAATTCTCTGTCGTACGTGACAGGCCGTGCTCGCACAATTCTAGCGATCCGAAATCATGCGACGGAAAGAAGAACGCGTTCTAACTTTCGTTTTATCGCGTATATTCTGCAGATCCGCGAAGCCGTTCCGCGTAGATGGGGGCCCAGTTTTCCTCGTTTAGCCGAGCATAAGCGTAATCCGGATGCCTGCGTCTCTCAAGAAATTCAGCCTCCGGCGTCGTTGCACGCCATGCTGAAGCTTAACAGCGCGCCATGGAACTTTTCGTATTAATAATCGGTATAATAATTAGTATTTTCATGCGCGACTTAGCAGGAAGGACGTGGCCGCATGTAAGACAGAGAACGAGTTTCAGAAGTGAAACAGAGTAAGAAAGAGAGAGATGGATGGATACATAGATGTTGTGTATGTGTGTGTGTGTGTGTGTGTAAGAGAGAGAGAGAGAGAGAGGGAGAGAGTAGGAACGAAGCTCTGAGAACTTCGGTGGATCTTGATTTTAAGTTCAGGCGAAGGAGGCGCATATTTCACCGCGCTAATGTCCCGCCAGATAAACTACAATATTAGCTGCCTTCGCCCGTGATTTAATTTAACTTTGCCCCGGCGCGACATCCGCCTCTAGCTTTCAGCTGCATGCTACTTCAGCTTGGTTAACCAGCATCCAACCCACGACCCGCCCAACCCTCCCTATGTCGACATGTGTTTATAGTTTTCGGGGCTGGGATAAGCGGATTCCAAAGAAATTACCTGCTCGTTGAAATAATGTTGTAGTGCTTCGTTGCCCGATTCCGATTTTTTCTCACTACAGCTTTTCGATGGTATCTTTTAACGATTAATTTTATTGGAGGAAAAATGGGAATAATACGAGGATTGTTAGATGTTTTATTGAATTACCATAGTGGCGCGATTTAAATAAATTTAGCTGTTTGCAAGGTTTGCAAAATTACTGTGATATTTGGCGAAGAGAAGACAAGATATTCAAGATACTGAACTCAAAAAGATAGATTCAAAGGTCAGAGCATCTCAGCATCTGCTTAAAGGGCAGACTTTTGTGAAATGTTATTTTCGTAATTCTCTATTAATGTTCCCCTTCTTTGATTCTTCTTCTGACACAAAACTGAATTATCTCGAGTTAATCATTCACTTATAAATTTTACATTCACATACCGTTGCTACAAGCTGGCTAAAATATTTGGATACTTAGACTCGAATATATTAGAGTATATTACGAAAACATTCTTCTTTTATTTGTCTTTCATTGCTGCTGCTGCTGCTATACTCGAATAACAAAATTAAAAAGCCAAGCGTCTCAGTTAAAGTCCGAGTGAAAAGCGTTGCCGGTGGTGAGTTTTCCGCAGCCGTCAGAGGCCATTACGCAACACAGAGAGCCAGTGAACACGGAGGCAAACAAACTTGCACTCGCGATTATTCCGCGAAGAATTAGGATGGCATTCAGTCCTCTTGGAAATCATGGCGGCATTGTCGGTGTGTCCTTCGAACTGGTTGGATGTCTCTACGTTTCCGTAGCTTTTCTCGCCTCCTTCGTAACGTCTCCTTCGCTTCAAGACGCCCTCGTCGCCAATGAAAAGTAAAGGAAAAGGAAGGCAGAGAAAGAGAGGGAAAGAGGGAAAAAGAGAGAGAGAGAGAGAGAGAGAGAGAG